AATACTGTCAAGTTAACACAACAAACAGATACCGCGGCTACTACAAGCTGATTCAGAGGAGTAGCAAAACAGAAGAGCAAGAATGCAAGTTCCAGTTGAAGATGTTACACCAGATGCAACTTACTTCAACTGACATTGTCAATTAGACTAAAGCCATATACAGGTAGCATGCTACCGTGATACTTCCTGTTAACACTGTAATCATCAGAAGAAAGTGAAGGGAAAATGACACCCTCCGGGAACACTGCTGATGAAGGCGAAAACGTTGCAAGTACTGAAGTGGAGATCAAGCCTTCATTTCAAGCAGCAAAAGGCGTTTTGCTAACCCTCGTGTCTGCCATTGCTATTTCTTTCTCCGGTGAATTCACAGCATTAATCAGCAAGGAAGGCATCCCAAGTTTCCAAATGCTTTTTTTAAAGCGAATGGTTGAGCTTATAACACTTGTTCCTATAGTAGTCTTCTTTCGGCCAAGATTAACTGGTGAAACTAAACGCCAGAATATCATGCTGTTCGTATTTTCGATTAGTACAAATGTCGCTATGGTTGCTTACTTTCTGTCTTTTGTATATTCAGTTCCTGGAATCGCGTTTGGTATCATTCAAGGTTTGATGCCTTTCTTCGTAGCCTGTATCGGCTTTCTGTTTTTGAAGGAATCTCTATTTTTTGTAGATGTTTGTGGGATTCTCATTAGCGTAACAGGGGTTGTTCTAATGGCGGTGGGGAACACACAGGTAGATGGCATGTCCACCAAACTACTCGTCTTGTCAATCGTAATTCCGCTAGCTGCGTCGTTTGCCTTAGCACCTGATATGGTCTTCATGAGGTACCTGACAGGAACACTAGAGGTTCCGATACTCACAACTTTGCTCTATCAAGATTTGGTAGGCACAGCGGCCTTACTAGGAATAACATATGCGGCAGAGACTCCAGTCTGGACAATGTCATTGCGTACAGTGTTATATGTAGTAGGACTTGGGGTGACTAAGAGTCTTGGCACCTTTTTGCTCCTTGCAGCCTTGAAATTTGTGAAGGCGTACATCTCAACTACAATACGCATGTTTGCCATCCCGATCACTCTCATGCTGGACCACTTTTTCATGCAGAAAATACCAAATTCCTTCCATTTGGCAGGCGTGGTCTTGGTGATGGTGGGAATAGTGTTCGTTAGCGCGCACACATGGTGGAAGGAATGTCGGAAGAAACTGAGAATCGAACCTTATCCAAACGTTCCTGTTTGACCCTGACAAAAGAAAGGGGGCATTTCAGGACAATAAGAAACGAGGCTTCTGAGTTCTGTTTAATAATTCTTGAAAACCTATGAAAAAGCGTTACAGTTTGATTTTGAAGAAAGATAAAGGGCTTTTTAGGTCAAAGTCAAAATGGTGTCTCTTTGTTGCAGACAGCTTAAGAAATTGATTAGCTTACGGTACTTACAGACTAAGAATATTTCATAAACGTAAGTTGTACTAGAATCTTTGACTATTTGACATGTCTATTTTGATATTTAGATGGGAACATATAGATAATATTAATCATTGTTCCCAGCAAAATATATAGTATGGTATAAATCACTTTTCTGATATGAACAGGATATTTAAACCATCCAGAAAATTTATGAAGTTTTTACAAACAAATGTGTGTCGGAATATATCATATTATAAAAAAGTTGGTTTGTAATTTAGCCCTTGCTGCTTTAGAATTGCTTGGAGATAACAGTTATCAAGTTGCCTTTCCTGGAAAATTGATTTCTGAGTTTTTAGACAGTAAATATAAAATTCTCTATGTTATTGCATATTTTCAAGGAACATTAACAATAAAGTATCATAGTGGGCTAATTTCGATAAGGCAGCCTAGCATGATTACGATTATATTGTTGTTGCTGGTAATAATGTTAATGTGGTGTCTATATTTTGATAAATACTTGTTGAGGTAGACTGTTTTTATCTGAAACTATGCAAATTAATCTGAATTTGGTGTTTACATTTAAAAAAAAAATATTTGTTGAGGTGATGTGCTTCTATTTAAAACTTTGCGAATGTTTTTTTGTAAATGATGACGCCCTTTCTTATCGATAAAATAAATCGATAGTGTTTGGTAAATGAGTGTAAACTTGAAGAAA